TTAATTTTTTCAGTTTCATTGTCATATAGTAATGATAATGATGTTCATTGCCAGTATTTTCCAGTTTCTGTCCCAGGAGATTTTTATTTGCTTTTGTTTTGTAGTCACATGTAACAAACTTAGGGGTTTCCACTTATGTTTAACTCCTTTTGTGTTTGGAAAGGACTCAACAGAAACACAAATTTGTCTTGTTTTCCTCCAAGATTAGAAGAAGTGACATTAATAAAATATTGCTTGTTATCCTAGAAGATGTTAAGTAACCTTTTATGTTTAGAAGGGATTCTTACCAAAAAAAAGGAAGTTAATTTGTCTTGCTTGCCGAGATTGGTGGAAATGCCATTAGTAAACAAGCATAGCTTGCTTTTCGCTCCCAGAACATGTTAAGTAACCTTTATGATAAGTGAACTAAGAAAGGGGAAAGCCTTTATGCCATTGGCAAAATGTAAGCATTTTCCCATTTTTCACCTTTATCCAGGTAGCTGGGATTTGTTTTGGTATTTTTGTAGGGGAGAGCTGTCAAAATATTTCCTGCATACTACATGATGTAGGTCAGTAATGACATAGTTACTCTATGCTAAGGGAGCTAATATTAATATTGTCTTGCTCTGCGGTGGTGGTGGTAATAGTCCTTTCTTACAGAGGACAGTGAACTTGTTTAGGGTCACACAGTTGTTACTGTTTGTTTATAAGCCAGTTTTTGGCATCTTGGCTCAGTTTTCACTTGGAGAAAAAGTATTTGAGTTTTCTTTATTACCTGTTATTGATGGTTAGCAGATAATGTAGTTGATATTGATAATCATATCTCCTTATTGAAGCAAGTTTGTTTATAAAAATATAGAGAAAGCTTTGTTACTTGAACAAGAGCTATTCTGTTCCCTAAGATATTTCAAAAGCTTTGTCAGGATCAGTCTTAAAACAATACATCTTTAATTTTTAAGAAAACCAGAGTTGATGCTTTTATTACTAAAATGAACATTGTATAAGGGGAATTGAAATAAACTTTTCAATGTTAAATGCTTTACAAATTGTTATTTTATATTTAGTTGAGTCAGATAGTTTGTTGACTGTTTATATAAGCCAGGAAAGAGAAAATATCTAACTACTTTGGTGTCTATTCAGAAAATTAAGGTGACTAACGCTTTGTACTGATGTTAATGGCATTGAGTCCAGGCTGTTGTTTTAATTAATAGATCTGGTCAGTCCTTTGACTTAATCAGGCTACAGCTGTGAAATTATAAAATGAGAGAACACACACACACACAAAAAAAAAACCAATGACATTGCACATTCTTGCATCTTTTGAGCAAATATTTAATTTCTCTGATAGAAACTAATGCTTTGAGAACTCTTTTTATCTTGAAATACATTTGGAATTTGTACTTCACTTATATATACCCTTTTAGTGATTTACCATTAGTGAAGAGAGCCTGTCAGCATGTTGATAACTTTGATGTAATCACAGTTTTGAAACTGAATCCCAACTTGTGAAGTTTTGTGAAAGAAGACAGCTGTGCAAGTAACATGGAGCCTCATCTCTGATTTTTTTTTAATTAATCAGAATGAGTTTAAATGATTTAGAATTTTTAAAAGATGCAAAGGACTTTTTAAAAAGTAATTGAAACTACATGGCAATGATGATTTTATTTTTGACTACTGATGCTTTTCTTTTAAAATGTTGCCTTTCCACCATGAAAAAAGTAGTACAAAATTATTAGGCTGGTAAAGGTTTTTGTAGTCCAAATAATCTTATATTGCTTAGCTGAAGATTGAAACAATGACTGAGTATGGTTTCAAGCACCTTAAAAAATGAAGGTGTTGTATAAGGTGTTTGCATTCATAAGACTCAATTAAAAATAAAACAATAATTTTTAAAGTGCTTAACATTGAAAAGTTTATTTCAATTCCCCTTTTGCAATATATATATTGTGCCAGCTAATGGACTTTGGCTTGGAATATACTGGAGAGCTAAGTACAATTCTATATTTAGTCATGCCTCTAAGAATTTTAATCTTGTGTTATCTTGGGCAAATCATTTTTCATCTTTGGCTTTTGATTCTCTCTATATTGAGAGGATTAATTCTTACATTTTGTTCTAGTTCTTAAACTATGTTGATAACTTTGGTAACTAACAGCCTTCTTTTAAATTTTTGTTTCTCAAGATTAATAATCTTCTGTGTCTTTATAAAAAATCTGGACTATATACTTGTTCATATTCCTTCATCTAAGAGCAGCCATGAAGAAAGTATGTTAAAATTATATAGTTCTAAAATTAATCTTTCAAAAGTCTTGATTGAATAAATTACTACCCAGCTATTTTTTTGTAATATATTACTTTATAGAGTAAAGGTATAGATAATAGTTTGATGAATACTGACAAGTGTAACTCACATTTCAACCAAAGTGAAGACTATTCCAAAAAATATTCTGGTGCTACTTTCCAGATAAATCTCTCCTGCCACTGCCTTGTCCAATTATCCCCCACTGCCAGAGTCAACCACTATTCTTCCAACCTGAAGGAGTGGATGTGGACAGTGTTACCATATATCCTTCCACACATATGTGCATATATATTTTCATCACTGATGTATGTATTGTGGAGATTTTATTCTAGTATGTGGCTTGTCTGTTGATTTTCTTAATGAATCACCACTATTTTTAAATGTTGATGTTGAATTTTTTTCTTATGGTTTGTGTTCTTCATGTCCTCATTAAGAAATCCTTACCAATTCCAAGATCACAAAGATACACATTTTCTTCTAGAGTCTTTTGAACTTTAGATTTTATCTTAGGTACATAATCCATCAAGAATTAATTGTGTATATTGTAAGCTATTACCTATGTAATTCTTGAGAGTAAATAACTCTTTTAAATATATCCCTTTCATTACTTCTTCCTTAATTTGGAAAGCAGGGGCATCTTTCATTTCCCATTTCAGAGTGGAGCACAGAATGCAGACAGGATAATTCTCTTCTCTGGCAACTCACTCATTAGTTTGAATTGGGGAGCTAATGAAACCAAATCCCTAAAGTGTAGTGTCAGGTTCAATTTTACCCTTGTCAGGTTCAGGTTTACCCTTATCTTGGTCCTTCCTTAGAAGTAAAACTTGATATTCCTGAATTATATTTAAAAACATTGGTGACTTTTATAAATTGTGAATTCCTATGAATCTCCAAAAGTGCCAAATTGGTTAGGATAAAACCATGAAGACTAATCACTGTGTCACCTTCTATAAAGAATACAGCTGTTTTTCCATCTTGTACTCCCTGTGCTCTGATGCTTTGTCGCAAATGAATGTTGTGATTAACAGTGCTTGTTGAGTTTAGTAACCTGGAAAAAACAAAAACTCTTAGAATTGTTCAGTATTAAAATAATAGCACCAGTTTTTGGTGTCATTTTTCTGATCCACTTTAATCACTTTCTCTGTATCTTCATGAGACTTATTTTACGGAAGAAAATTTGATATGCAGAGATGTTCATTAATTTGGCCATGTTATCAGTTTTGTCTCCCCTCAGTGCTGCAACCACTGGATGCATTCAGAAGACACTGTTTCTAAATGGCTGATGGCCGCCTTCAATATGTGAAGGGCTGATCTGGGCCGGGGGTGGGTTTGGGGGGACACATACAAGAAGTAGTTGAACACAAGAATTAGTTGATGCTGATATTGTAGTTGTAGTTCTTTAGTTTTCAGAGGAGACCCAAAGAAATATAGATCCCTTTCTTCTCCCAAACAGGGAAATTGTAATGTTTCAACCAGCCTTTTGGCTCGCTACAATTTCCCACAGAGACTGTGTATACCTGCATGACTGTGTATGTTTTCTCTCTAACCTCAGTCACAAGGTCAGAAATATGTCAGTTAGTAATAGATGTAATACAGTTACTGTTATTTTTTTCTAACCTCATAAGGGAAACTAAAATACACAAGTAAAGTACATGCCATACCTTTAAATTGTTGAAACTTTTTCATAAGATACATACATATTTTCCCCTTGAAGTTCTTAAGGTGATTTTTCATATGCTAAGATTCACGGAAGCCACATATAGGGTACTTGAGTACTTTAAGAAATTTTGAAACTTAGCCTTTTATGTCAGAAGGCAACTTCTCAAAGAAATCTGGGTGTAAAGGAAAAGTGGGATTGAGTCTAAGTATAACCATAGAACATTTATGGCATTGATTTTGATGATGGCTCTGCAGATGTATTTATGTTATGAATTAGGTATCTGCTTTTTTAATGTCCATCTTATTTCAATGAAATTATTTAAACAAAAAAAACCAAAGGACATTTTAATAATGAACGAAACACTTTTTTCATTGTATGAGTAATATATTCTCATTGTAAGTAAATTTAAAATGTTTTATAAATTGTTATATAGTTATAAAAAACAGAGTAAAAGTGTGTTAATGTGTACTTATTCCACTTATATGTATACTTTTCTTTTTTTACAAATGTAAGATTATCAGTACATACTGTTTGCCAAAAGTACATCATAATTTTCTATACTATGAATAGAACTTCATCATACTTTTTAATGGTGTAGGGTTGTGGTATTGTCCTTTCTTTGGCATTTATGTTATTTTCAAGTTTGCATTTTTAAAAAGTGCAGTGGTCATGCTTGCATAGTTCATTCTTTCTTGGGGAGAAGTTCTAGAAGTGAAATTGCTGGATCAAAGAAATCACAATTTTGAGGCTTTAAATTGCCAAGTTGCAATTAGGTCACTGCAATTTATAGTCTTCATTGTTAGACAAGGATGCCCATTTCCCCCCATCATTTAAACTAGACAGGTTTCCCAACATGGTGCCAATCTGGTAACTTGAAAAATGGCATCTCCTGTTTTAATTGGCATTAATTATTCATGAAACTGACCCTTTTTCATGTTCACTGACCAGTACAGATTTTGGTTTCACAAATGAATGGTTCATGGCCTTGATTACAGATGCCTCAGAAAATTTCCCCATTCATTCATCAGTCTTTTCAATGGTTCCTTATTTTTTCTTTCCAGGAGCGACTAAAACTGGTGACTGTTTTGGGTGCTGGCCTTCTCTGCGGAACTGCCCTGGCGGTCATCGTGCCTGAAGGAGTACACGCACTTTATGAAGATATTCTTGAGGGTGAGAGGGAGAAGGGCTTTCTTTGAGATGTGTTGCTAGCATGGAAGGTAGAAAGTAAAAGCTTAGTGGTATTTTTTCTGAGCATAGCTCATGTTTGCCATATAGTTCTCTCCTGGGAAATTTTCTTAGAAACAGATCTTGGGACATCTTTAACATCAAATGCTTCCTTAGAACTGTTTGTGAATCAAATGTCCCAACTCATGAATAGCACTAAAATTATTTGCAAAAATGCATGAATTCCTGTCTCAGTATCACAATCCTTTTTTTTTTTTTTTTAAGATTTATTTATTTATTCGTACAGAACTGGGGTATAGGTCAGAGATGCGGAGGGTGAGAGGATTCACCAGAGACAGAGTGGGATGCAGAACAGGCAGATCGAAGAAGTACACTGCTGAGGGGAGCAGCGGGCGGGTCAGGAGAGGTCTGCCACGCCATGCGGTCACCTCCGGGGCAGACGGGGATCGAACTCATGTGGAAGTGGCTTAAGCTTCTTTGTGCAGTGCTTTAACCCGCTGCGCCACCAGGGAGGGCCCTACAATCCTTTTTTAAGGCCTACTGCAAAACTTCTCAAACTTCCCATTATCACCATATAGCAGTTGATTGTATTTTGTTGTTCTCTGATTAACAGTATGTATCTGATTAACAGAGAACAGTATGTTCTCTGATTAACAGTTTGTATAGGGACTCTGAATCCAAAGTTACAGAAAACTTGTCGGCAACTGATGAAGACCCCTGAAGTAAAGAGTAACTAAAAAATTCAGAGGTTTTTCTTATCCTAAATACTAGTGAGTAGTAAACAGTTCAGCTGTGTGAAAATAAATGCTTTAAAATCAGCTTGCTTTACTCACTTGCTGAGTAGCTTCATCCTTCACATCAACTTGAATAAGCATGCTTGATTCAGATTTATGGCTCAGCAGATCAGATTGCTGCTTGTCATGAAGCCACTGTTAAATTGGAGCTAAATCCTCAAATAACCAAGACTATGCTGGACTTCAAGAATAGTATAAAAAGAGACACCTTCCAAATTTCTTAATAGACAAAAATACAATAAATACTTTTTCATATCTTGGTAGAGGAAAAGAATTGTGTCTTCTGTCCGAGTGATGATGTTTTTATGGGATATAAAAATAGGTAGAAAGGTGTTTACTAGACAGAATGATGGCAGATATTATACTTGCCATCTTGATGCACGACTTAGGCTGAAGAATTGTGTGCTTTATGGGAGAGAAAAGAGCCCTAGAACAGTGGTTTCTATTTTTTGATCACGTATATACACATACTACTGTACTTATTTCCTATATGTTATAAAACACTCCCAAATTATAAAACTTTGAAGTATGAGATATAAAGTGAATATATGTAAAAGATAGTGTTTTCTTTTATATCCCAGTAGAACATTTGGATTTTCTTTTAATTCCACTGTCACTATCTTGGTATAATAAAAAGCAGATTGTATAAATAGACAAATATTTTTTAATTTTTGCTTGTCTTTTGTAGCTGAGAAAAAATTGTGAATGGTAATTTGTCCCTGTTCGGGCACCACTTTGTTGCGGCAGGGACTTTTTTGTTGGTTTGTGGTGGGAATGCAATGGGGGACTCACAGGGACCCAGTGGTCAGAGGGCCCAGTACATATCTTGTATATCCACAAGAACAGTTGTGGAGCTTGTTTGCAAGGCCAGACTCTATTACTTGAGCAGAAGTTCTTGTGCTGTTTATTGAAATCATATAGGCTTGTAAAAGCTGATCATGCAACAATGAGGAACAGGGTCTGACGGGTGGGATAGGAATGGGGGACAAAGTTTTACGAGGGACTGGGAAGGGGACATCATGACCATGCATCAAGAGACATTTCTGTCGGCAAAGTATGATGTTATCACAGGCAGAGTTATCCTGAGACTGCCGTGGAGATAGTCATGTAATTAGGTCAGCAGCAGCCTACATGTTCCCCATTCTGCTTCGTGCTGCGAGCTATACTCCGTAAGTGGTCAAGGAATATTCTGCTGTGATCTATGGATAGCAAATAGGTCACACTTGCCCATGAATGGCCAGCTCATAGGGGCCCACAGTAATTGTTTTCTAAACTTGTTTAATAATAAAAGTTCTGTGAGGAAGGAGTGCATTTTCAAAGTCTGTTTCCTTTGCCCCCAATCCAGATGGTAGAATCAGAATCTCCAGGGAAGTGACCTGGGAACAAGTTGTCAAATGATTCCTATTAGACAAGTTTGGGAAACATTGGGTAAGGGAGAAAAAATGCTTCAGGTATTGCTGTTGTGGTATTGTTGTTGTTTAAGTCAGTTTTATTGAGATGTAATTCACTTATAAATTAGTGCTAGTTTTAAGTTTAAATTTAGCTACCATGGGTCAGGTTGCAGTCCTTTTTAGCTTTCCAGATTTTGGGTCCAAGAGAATTTTCAGGATTCATTTGAAAATAAATGCAGTGTGTTTTTTTTTTTTTTTAAAGATTTTATTTATTTATTTATTCGTACAGAACTGGGGTACAGGCCAGAGATGCGGAGGGTGAGAGGATTCACCAGAGACAGAGTGGGGAGCAGAACAGGCAGATCGATGAAGTACACTGCTGAGGGGAGCAGCGGGCGGGTCAGGAGAGGTCTGCCTCGCCATGTGGACTCCTCCGGGGCAGGCGGGAATCAAACTCATGAGGAAGTGGCCTAAGCTTCGCAGTGCAGTGCAGTGCTTTAACCCGCTGCGCCACCAGGGAGGGCCAATGCAGTGTGTTTTATAAGCCCACTTTGGTAAAACTAAGCACTCCAATCTCTTTCTAACCTTTTACTATGTGTCCTCCAGCCCTAACTGTATCATTAAAAATCTTTTTATTATTTTCATTTATATATTTTATAGACACTCTTTTTGATATACACATCACATCTGTAAGTTCTGACAAGTACAGAGCCCTGTTAATGCCACTGTAATCAAAATACAGAACATTTCTTTCACACTCTCCTTTTGTAGTGAAACCTTCCCATTTATTCCCAAACCTTTGGCAACCACTGATCTCATCATTTAGGTCAGTATACTTTTCAATTTCCCTTGCAAATTCCTGTGTGACTTATGTATTATTTACACATGTTACTTGATTTTCAAGTATTTGATAATTTTCCCCCCTCAGAATCTTTATGTTACTGATTTCTAGCTGAATTTTATTATAGTCAGAGGACATTGATGGCATGAGTTGAATGCTTACAAGTTTTAAGTGCTTTAAAAAAAAAAAAGATTTATACATATAGAACTGGGGTACAGGCCAGAGGTGCAGGGGCCGTGAGAGGCTTCACCAGAGACAGAGTGGGGAACAGAACAGGCAGATAGACAAAGCATACTGCTGCAGGGAGCAGTGTGGGGTCACAAGAGGTCTGCCGTGCTATATGGGTGAGCTTCTTCATCTGGGATTGAACTCGTGCTGCAGAAGCTGCGATAGCTTCATAGCGTTGTGTTTTAACCTGTTGCACCACCAGGAAGGACCCTTAAGTGCTTTTTTTAGTTGTCCAAAATATGTTTCTCTTGCCTAATGTTCCAGGGGCACATTATTTGGTGGAATAGTCTATAAATGTCATTTAGGTCAAGTTGTTTGGTAATACTGGCCTTCTATATTCTTGCTGATTTACTGCTTGTTCTATTGATTACTGCAATAGTAATATTGAAGTCTCCAAGTATGATTGTGGGTTTGTCTATTTCCTCTTTTAATTTTATCAGTTTTTGCTTTATGTATGTTGAAGCTCTTTGATTAGGTGCCTAGAAATTTAGGATTGCTATTTCTTGTTGGCAAATTGTTTTTTTTTTATCATTACGTAGTATTCTGTTATTCTTTATTCTAGTTTACCTACTTTACCTGATAGTAGTAGTCACTCCAGTTTTCCTTGGATCAGTGTTTTATGGCATATCTTTTCCATCCTTGTACTTTTAACCTAGCTGTTTCATTCATTATATCTAAAGTAGATTTCTTATATACAGCACATAGTTGGATCATTTTTTTTTTTTTCAATCTAATTTGACAATCTCTGTCTTCTGATTGGTTGTTTATGGTTTGGCAAATTTCTTTTTTTTTTTTTTACTCATGCACATAGAACGGTGATAGTATTGAGTTTGGGAGATACCTATAAGAGATTAGTAATAACTGTTTTAGACAATGTAACCTGTATGATCTCTGTTGGTAGTACTAAACTCCATATTATAGCATATTCTTTCCTCTCTTTTCCTTTCTGTTGCTGAGATCATGTGGTGATTTTACTATTTTAGATACTACAGTTTTCAATTCTAAATTTTTTACTTGGTTCTTTTTTTACAGTTTCTGTTCCTACCAAGATAGAAATTATCAAACACATTTGAAGTGTGTTTTGTATTTTAGGAGCATAATTATAATAGCTGCTTTAAAGTCTTTTGAGTATTCCACTATCTTAAATTATCTTGGGATTGATTCTTTCCCTTGATAATTAGTCAAATTTTCCCATTTGTTTGTATGTCTAATTTTGGATTGTATCCTGTACATTTTGAGTATTTTATTTTGAGACTCTAGATCCTTTTAAGACCCTCTGTAGAATGTTTACTTTTGTTTTAGCAGGCAGTTAATCTGTTTATAGTCAAGCTGCCTGTTCTGTGTTAACTTTTTGGGGGGTGGTACTTCCTATTTTATCAATAGTTCATTCATAAAGGTGGGTTCCTTTATGAATTCCAGGGAAAGAATCAGATCCATAATGACTTGCTGAACACTCTGTTAGTGGTATGAGAAGCAAGTGACTGATGTGCCATAGTAATTGATGAGACCATTGGTTCATGTACTTTGCACCAGGGATTATGACCAAGAACATGTGTCAGCTAATGAATTATGCAACAATGTCCTGAGTGAAACAGACTTAATAACCTGAAAGTTCTTTCATGACTGAGTGATATGTGTACATTTAAAAGGATAAATTTCATGTACATTTTGCCAAAAATTTATAAAGAGCTATGAAAACAAACAAATAATCTTTTAGAAATTCGAAAAATACATATGCTTTTTTTTTATCTACACATGGTATGTGCTTTGTACCCCTCTAAAATGACTTTTAAAGAATTGAGGTAGGATCTAAAATATTGCAACTAGCTTGTGCAGTGTATTTGATCCAAGGTAGAAAATGCTTAATCTAATTACACACTATATATAATTAGGATGTTAACCTCTATTCATGACGTATGGCAAAATAAGGGTTCTATCCTTGAAGCATTTATGCTTAACTTGTGTAACATGTGGATATAAACTGGTAGTGTATTTTTTGGCCAGGTGTCATTAGCTATAATTTATAATTCAGAGGCTTGTAGGAATCATAGTATATCTAGAACTGAATAAAGACTAAAGGATGTGATTTATAAATTGCACTTTTGATTTCCAGTTAGTGATTGCTCCCTGATGTTTTTAAAGATAAAATTTCATACTCAGTCTGCACATTATTTGCAGTTTTTCTATCAGCCTAGGTATAAAAGCAGATGACTTATGACTGTAATTATTTTCAATGTTATTGCTCTCCATTTGCCTGTTTTCATCAGAATAAAACATACTATAGCTTCTCCTGAGATTAGCATGAGTTTCTTAACCAGAGGAGAATTTAGGATGATACCCCTTGAAATAGAACCTTTTGTGTGATAGTGGTTTGCTTCCACTTCCCATGTTTTGAGATGAATAGGCAGTTGAAAGATCTGTGTGCCAAAAGGAAAAGGTACTTGGAAATTTTTTCATTGTATACTTGAAATTGAAGGAGTTAATGATCATGATTGACTGGATTAGTTTAGGAAATGGATATCTTTGCAGTAAAAAAGAGAGGAAGAGAGCAAGTTTGAAATGCAGAAGAATGGAAATGGAAAAAAGGGTTATCACATTTTCTCTTTATGGCTCATTGTTTTCTAGGGAAACACCACCAATCAAGTGAGACACAGAATGTGATTGCATCAGACAAAGCAGAAATGCCAGTTGCCCATGAACATGAGCACAATCACGACCACACACAACTACATGCCTACATCGGTGTTTCCCTAGTACTGGGCTTCGTTTTCATGTTGCTTGTGGACCAGATTGGCAGCTCCCATGTGCATTCTGCTGATGGTAAGTGACTCCAAGGCTTTCTGTGTGGTACGATAAACAGTGTCCTTATTTAGTGCTAAAACTCTTTTATCTTTGTTAAGAACATTCTCCAGTGAACATTTTGTTCAGTTGGGGGAGCTAGTGAGCTGTGACATGTGGCACAAGAGAGTGTTTATGGGTTAACTTAAAGCTGTTGCATTTAGTGAGAGTCTAGAGCAGAAATTCTCTTAACCATTTTTGTGCCAGGGAGCTCTTAGGCAGTCTAACTCTGTGCACCTTTCTAAAATAATGCTTTTAAAAGTGTAAAGTATAGCACATATAATTACAGAGACAACCAATAACAAGGAAGCAAGCATAGCTACTAAAACATGAAAACAGACATGTAATATAATAATATGTCTTCTTTAAATAATAAGATTTAACCACAAGCAAATAGAGTTAAATTTTATTACTTGGACATCAGTATGAGTTATTGTTGCTTACCTTCTTTAAGAACATTAAATTGTGAGAAGGACTTTCATAAGTCAGACCTGTAACTTATTTGAGTTTTTGTTTTGATGCTTACTAGTTTGGAAAATTGTGATTCACAGATATTTTTCTTACAAATTTACTTGAACATTTTGAGCCTCTGGTGGTTCAGGGTTTGTCTCAGTGCTAGCAACTTACCACCAGCCAATGCAGCATGAGGTCAAGTCCTGGCTAGGATGCTGACCTACATGATGCAGTAAACCTCTCCTGTCTCACCCGCTGCTCCCCTCAGCAGTGTATTTCAGTAGATCCACCTGTTCTGCTCCCCACTCTGTCTCTGGTGAGTCCTCTCAGCCCTCATACCTCTAGCCTATACCCCAGTTCTTGTATGCATAAATAAATCTTTAAAAAACAAACTTACTCAAACATCTTAAACTTGTTTCTAAGGAAAGATAAGCTTATCTCATGGACAACCAGAATTCTTTAGGACTTTTCAGTTTTAATTTAGTCACAATAACTTTTTTGTCTTAAGGTCAGTGAATTCATCTTTGACTAGATGAACATCTTTGATGGGGTTTATAGTAAATAAAGGATTTTGATTTATGATAACAACTTTGATAACTTTTGATAACATATAAAACATCACAAGAGTTTTATATGTTACATGTATTATATGCCATGTTCTTGTAATAAAGTAAGCTAGAAATAAAATGTTATCAAGAAAATCATAAGAGAAAATATATTTATAGAACTGTTCTGTATTTATCAAGATTATAAACTTGCATCATCTAGAAAATCTGTCTATAAATGGACCCACTCAAACTTTTAGTTGTTCAAGAGTCATTTCTATATACTCACATATACACTTAGGCTTTTTTGAAAAAGACACTTAAGAATCAGCTAGAAAACAAAGCAGAATGCCTGGACAGAGTTGGGGTTGGATTGTGTGATGACTCAAAAAGGTTAGAGGAAGGTATGAGACTTTCATGGAAGTGCCTTTTTTTTCCCTTTTAACAAAAGGACAAAATTACTTACTTTTTACTTACTTTTTAGTAACTTTAAATCCTTGATGGTTACAGCATCACATGGATTACTCTGCTTCTTCCGGTTGACATCAGTCACTGTATTGTTCTTTGCTTTATGCATATAAGCACATCTCTTGCCTAGACAGAATTCAGTTTCATCTTGAGCATAAACACCTTAAATTTTAGGAATAACTGTATGCCCCTTCTGGTTTTGGAGACACCCCACTTGTAGCTAGCAAAAATGACCATAACTAGGCGCTCCCTGGTGGTGCAACAGGTTAAAGTGCAGCACTGCGAAGCTAGCTGAGACCGCTTCTGTGTAAGTTTGATCCCTGACCCAAAGGTGACCCATTTGATGCAGCAGCCCTTTCCTATCTCGCCACTGCTCCCCCCAGTGTACTTAGTCAGTCTGCCTGTTCTGTAGAATCCTCTTACCACCCCTGCACCTCTGGCCTGTACCCCAGTTCTGTATGCATAAATAAATAAATCTTTTTTTAAAAATGACCAATGCCTTCCAGCCACATGTTAGAAGTTGTATTCTCAGCAGATCTTAGTAATTTACTCCAAAGTTTCAGCAACAGGGATTTCACTCTGGACCTGCCTTTTTGATACAGTTTTGACTTTTGGAAACATGTTAATATTTTCTATATTCAAAAAAGAAAGTAAAATCAAGGATGGAACTGAAACTTGAATTGTATTTCAAGAGAATAACATAGTCACACTAAAGGGGATTAAAAAATAACTAATTCAGTGCCCTCCCTGGTGGTGCAGCGGGTTAAAGCACAGCACTAAGAAGCTAAAGCCACTTCTGCATGCCCCGGAGGTGACCCACATGTCAAGGCAGACCTCTTCTGACCTGCCCACTGCTCCCCTCAGCAGTGTACTTCATCAGTCGGCCTGTTCTGCTCCCTACTCTGTCTCTGGTGAATCCTCTCACCGCCCCTGCATCTCTGGCCTGTACCCCAGTTCTGTATGCATAAATAAATGTTTAAAAAAAAATTAATTCAAGTCCTCTTTAAGAATGTAGAACATATGTTTATATACCATTAGTTGGGTGAAGTTAGGAAGAAATAAACAAATACCAAACTCTTTTTAGTAGACTTTGCTTTTTGTTATTGTGTGAAAAAAACAATTCTGAAACTATTTTATATGTATTATAGAATTGAACAAATAAGTAAATTGTTGATATTGATAGGATCAGAGTTCTCACTATGGAAGAAGAGCCATATAAATATGGAAGGTTGAGAATGCAAGAAAAAACCATAAGTGGAATGAATTGTACTTCGATACTAGACTCATGATTTCTAAAATGGATATGTATATATATGTATATACACACACACACATATGTATATATTTATATATGTGTTAGTGTTTATATATATATATATTTATATGTGCATGCATGTCCTGACTATCTGCAGAGAGAGTCTAGAAGTAAAGACACAGTGCTAATAATAAACATAACACAGGTACTTCAGAAAAATGGCTGACTTCGTGATAGATACACTACAAGTACATCTAATGATTGAAAAAAAGTAAGGAAGAATATGAAAACATGTAATGGGATATAGGAACCAGCTTAAAGAAGCTCCACAGGCCAAATCTCGAACAATTTGGGTGCCAGAATAATTGAGAACGTAATGACATATAAAGAGTTGAAAATAGGTAGGCAGATAGGTAGGTAAGTAGGTAGCTAGGTAGACAGATGGCAGATGGATGGATAGCACTTACTTACAATAGAATGCTAAAATCAACTAGTTAGAGATAGAAAATAAAATTTTTCCAAATCTTCATAACAAAAGTTGGCTCACATACGAATCATCAGTGAATGTTAAATCTAAGGGATAAATTTTGATTTGCTTATTAGTTGCAAGGGAAAAAAGAAATGAAATAATAAATCAGATAATAGATTCATGTCACCAGAGCTCTGCTTTCAGTTGGCTGGGTAAGTTCCTATCAGACTGAGCCCTTTAGAGATAACTGTAAACTCTAGACAAAATTGAAACAAACAAAACAAAAGCCTAGTGATACTGGAGTCAACCAGAACAAGCAAATTCTGGAGGGGAGTAAACATTTGATATAGGGTACGTTTCCATTTTTTACTGTTAATTTACACCCTGTGAGGTTACCAAAAGTCTGGTAGAAAACTTTCTTTCTGGCCAAAGAAACCAGGGGACAGAATTCAGGGCAACTAGAGCCACTGGAACATGAAGGGGAATCTTATAAAGGAGACCAAAACAGCAGCTTCAAATTTTGTGTATAAATTTGCCCATGTCTCTGATTAAGTCGTGAACCATGCTTTCATAGGCAGATTCCAGGCAGTTCAGCTAAAAATGAGGAGCTAAACTTAAGTTGAGGAGCTGTCCAAAAGGCAGAATTTGCAGTTTGGTCAAAACTAAGTTACTTAAAGCCAAACAAAACATTCTTTGGATGACTATAATAGAATCAGAGTATCCTAGCAAGATAGCATTTTACAATGTCTAAGATACAATCCAAAGGGCACATTGCCAGTGAGCAACAGGTGACTCTCAGTTTGGTGTCCTGAGAACATCATTTCTGTAGGATTCTCTCCAAGAATGCAAAATCTGAGGACACATCAAACAAACAAAAGGAAGGGTTATTCTCTTTAAAAACAAGAAAAGCTGAGGAAGGAGAATGTATTCTCCAAAGGTATCACTGTCACAAAAGTAAATAGCAGAGAAAATGTTTTAAGGAAGAGGTGACTAAAGAGATAAAATTAATTGTAGTATGTGATCCTAGATTGGATCCTTCCGGAAAGAAAAATGCTCAGAAAGACATTCTTGGGTAATTGGCAAAATTGGAATACTCAGGGTGATTAGAAAAAAGTATCAGTGTTAAATTTATTTAAGTTGAAAATTGTACTGTGATTATGTAAGAAAATACCATTTATTTTAGAAACTACACACTGAAGAATTACATTCATAACTTTTAAATGGCATGGGGAAAATATATATTTGTGTTTTTGTATTGTGTGGGTAGAGAAAGAGAACAGCAATAAAGACAAACAAGCACATTTCCAAAATAAAAAAAAAATTTTTTTTAAATCATGGGATTAAACGTCAACGAAAAACATCTTTTGAAAGGTTTTTAATCTCCTGGCACTTATTATTTCTAATTTTTCCCATAGACTTTTTTTTTTTAAACAAAGACTTACATTGAAAAACTGATATAGGAATAAGTGGTTTTATTCTTGGCTTTATTCCTTATAACAAATGAGAAGCACGCTTTGTTGGATGGTAGCTGGTTCCAGCTGCATAACATAGTCATCCTCAGTGACCTTTATGGCATTTCTCTTGTGATTCTCGTCATTTCTATTTAAAATTCATCTATGGGCCCATTAGTGCCTTGCGATCCTATGCAAAGAATTAGCTTGAACATGTTTTCTGTACTTCTTCCTTCAGTTTTATCTCTGAGGTTACTTTGCTGGCTTTCTTGGTTTTACCTATTTACAGGATTTTTGTGTTCTTATTATCAGTAAAACAATATATTTTTTAAATTTTGCTGAAGTTTTTTTCTATAGACCTATAAAAACTGTTTTAATGTTAATGTCTGATTTTTATTTAAGACATTACCATACAAGGAAAAGACAATAGTCAGGAAAATAATATTCTACTACTTTAAGAGCTTTCAAATAAGCCTTCCACCTTTAGGTCACTATCCTAATGGTTTCTGTCTCCCATAATTTAATGACTGACTTTATTATTCTTCCTTCAGATTCAGAAACAGCAAGGCCTACCAATTCCAAAATCACCACCACGCTGGGTCTGGTCGTCCACGCTGCAGGTAGGGTTGGACTGCAGAATCCCTGTCTTTTCTGCCACACAGGAGTATCCATATTAAATACTAGGCTTGTCTGGCCTTCCTTCTGGGGAAAGGGTTATATTACATTTTTTTTAATAGATGGGGTAAAATAATTTGTGCACATGAAAATTACATTAAATTTCATATTGTCCAAAAATAAAACTTCTGTTTGAATATAGCCATCCCCTTATTTACATACTATCTGTGGCTGGTTTTGAGCAGTTACTGGCAAGTTAAGTAGTTTGGAGAGACCAGATGGCCTGTAAAGCCTGAAATATTTCTTATCTGAGCCCTTAAGGAAATTTGCTGGCATCTGCCCTGTAGTCTTGTCTGGCTAAAAACCTGGGTGCTTTTGTACTCCTGCCCAGTATATACCCAAAGTGCCAGTTTAGGCAGAGGCAGGCCACAGAAGCTAGCTGAAGCTGACTTAGAACCATGACCCAGAACTAGCCACAGCAGAAGGATTCTGCTGCAAACAAAGGCAGGTGAAAGATGGCACACTGTTATATGGATCTTTCTGGCTGCTAACCAAAAAATGCATCCTTTCATAACAAGAAATTCATCCTTTCAGCCAGTTTTACTTACTAAGTATAGGTCATCTCTGTAGAATCGTAGTGTCACTTTTCTTTTTTCCTCTGAAAAATGCAGAAATGCTTCCTTTAAAGTTTTGAATATTTATTATTACAATGAATTAATAAATTTTTGAGCATTATACTTTTCCAATAACTGCAGCAACAATAACAGACATTGTGTATTCTGAGCTAAATTGTTTACATATGTTATCTCATTTGACCTTCATGAAGACCTTAAGAGTACAGCAGCAGCTTCTACGCTGTTGAGCCCATTGCAGAGATGAGAAGATCGTGGTTCAGAAAAGTTAGGAATCTTCAGCAGTCAAACCAGTCCTCTCTGGCTCTGCCATTCCACACGCAGCCACTACCCTGTTATCAGTTGTCATTTACTGGTTGTTTCACTTTCCCCAAATTTAGCTGACGGTGTTGCTTTGGGAGCAGCAGCTTCTACTTCACAGACAAGTGTCCAGTTAATTGTGTTTGTGGCAATAATGTTACATAAGGTAAGCAGCATTTTGGTATGAGATTTGAAATTGAGTATTCATAATTAAAATCTCTCTGGTCATTAACATTTTAATAATTATTTTTGGAGACTAGAATAAATCTGATAAAAAAAATTTTTTTTTGCTATCATTTTCTTAAAACTTAGTTGTAAAGGGTTTTGTATATGTGTGTCATCATATATACAAGCTGTGAGATTCTCTACAGATTCCTATGTTTCCTAATAATTTTTGTTCATATTTTTGTTTTCTTATATATATATATATATATTTTAAGATTTATTTATTTATACATACAGAACTGGAATACAGGCCAGAGGTGCAGGGGAGTGAGAGGATTCACCAGAGACAGAGTGGGGAGCAGAAATAGGCAGATTGACTGAAATGCACTGCCCAGGGAAACAGCGGGTGGTCAGGAGAGGTCAGCCATGCCATGTGGGTCAGCTCCCTGGCCAGGATCAAACTCATGCTGCAGTGGCTGTGCTTTACCCCATTGCTCCACCAGGGAGGGCTCTATTTTCTTATATTATTGTCTCAACTATTTCTATTTTCCTACTTTCCAGTGAACAAACATACACACATAAGTGGGGTATTTTCTTAGCTTAGAATATTAATTCCTTAAAGTCAGAGTTCAATCTTGGTACCATGCCTGGCTTTTTGTAGGTAATTCAAGTGACATATGACATATATTTCTTAATGTAGAAGCCGTCCATACTGGCGTACTTGTCTTTTCTAGGCTCCAGCTGCCTTTGGGCTGGTTTCCTTCTTAATGCATGCTGGCCTAGAGCGGAATCGAATCAGAAAACACTTACTGGTCTTTTCACTGGCAGCACCAGTTATGTCCATGGTGACTTACTTAGGACTGAGTAAGGTGAGTCTCATTCCTAACTTATCTAGACAAATGTCTTATTCTTTTGTGATCAAGAGCTTATGACCTCTTGTGTTGATTTTTCAATTAAATTATTCCCTCAAACTAAAAAAAAAAAAAAAAATTATTCCCTCAAACTAAAGATAAAATAAGGAGTAAAAACCTGTGCAAGGTAAATGTGTTAATTTCAGGTCAGTCCTCCTCATAAATTCAGAGCATCTACTTATTCATTTAGCTTAAAAACATTTCTCCTCTTTTTCAAAAATATTTTCACAAATGTATGATAGTATTTCCATCTTGAATATAACATACCTAACCAGACACATTAATTTTATTTGACAGATGTATAAATCACAACAATACATATTTTATGTTTAAGTAGGCCCGTGAAGCAGGACTAACAACCATGTAGCACCTTTGAGAATAGTAGGAAATGACCAGAGATGTCTGTATTCCTCTTAAGTCTCAAGTCCTTGTATTACCAGCTCTCACATCACTGATAGATAGCACTGAACATCGCTTTGGACCTAAAGTGCTGTGTGTCACTTGTCAGCTCAGAGCCTGGCCATTTTCCCCTGTAGCTGAATTTAGTCTTCCTCATTCTTTGTGCTAGAGCTGCAGTGCTGGTAAAAACCCATTTCCGTTTTACTTAAATGTCAATTAGCAGACAACGGCAGAAAGATCGTAGAACCAGACTGACTCAGGTCTGGTTCATGGGAACTGCTTTCCCTCCTACTCTCTCTAAGTCACTGATTCTTCTGAATGTCATTCAGTCCATATCTGATACACTAAAGTATGGATTAAAAGGAACATGTGAGAAATTAGATGGTTAAAAAACGGTTAAGTTCCTATTAACAATGGATGTGTTTATCAGGATTACTAACAAATGAGTTATTATGAAACCTCTTTTTGTTCATCTTAAGAGTTTTACCATCTTTCAATCAATGAGCAATAAGTAGTTCTTTTTTAAATACTGCCCTGCTTACCATGTTGTTAATATGAGTTTCTAGCACTTTTGACAGGATGGCATTAACAACTCTGGAGGCATGCAATTACATGTTATGTTTATGACCTTTTCCTAAAATTTTAATTAGTACATAGGTCCGCTTTTTTTTTTTTTTTAAGATTTATTTATTCATACAGAACTGGGGTACAGACCAGAGATGTGGAGGGTGAGAGGATACACCAGTGACAGAGTGGGGAGCGGAACAGGCAGATGGATGAAGTACACTGCTGAGGGGAGCAGCGGGCGGGTCAGGAGAGGTCTGCCACTTCATGTGGATCTCCTCCGGGGCAGGCAGGGATCGAACTCATGCAGAAGTGGCTTAAGCTTCTTAGTGCAGTGCTTTAACCCACTGCGCCACCAGGGAGGGCCATAGGTCCACTTTTTAAATAGAAAAGCTTGAAATTAATTGTATAAAGATTAGCTTATGAGTTGTTTCTAACCTCTGTAGGGCAGGTACCCATTTGATTACTTACGTCTTTCCCACCACACTAAAGCCCAGTGGTGCATAGCGGATGTTTATTAAATATTAGTAAGAATAAATAAGTGAATGTGTGAAACTTAGTATGGATATTTACAGTGCTGTTGATTCCACCCTAAGAAAAATACAGGCCAAACCTGTTCAAGCACACTTGAAGTTTGTTTGAGAAAGAAGCTTTGTGTATCACCGATAGTCTTGAGTCACTACTTGGAAGCATTCCATCAGTAACATAAAATTGCTCTGATCTCAAGATGTCCCCAGGGTCCCTGGTAGCACCAGTTATAAGTATTTAATTTTTTACTGGAATTTCTTTCTGAGCCTGAGTTTTGCTTGACTTAATTTTTCTTCTTTTTCTTAATTCACAGAGCAGTAAAGAAGCCCTTTCAGAGGTCAATGCCACTGGAGTGGCCATGCTTTTCTCTGCTGGGACATTTCTTTATGTTGCTACAGTACACGTCCTCCCTGAGGTGGGCGGAATGGGACACAGTCACAAATCTGACCCTGCTGGGGGGAGAGGCCTCAGCCGCCTGGAAGTGGCAGCCCTGGTTCTGGGTTGCCTCATCCCACTCATCCTGTCAGTAGGACACCAGCACTAATCTGGTGCCAGCCTCGACCTACGGCTGCTTGCCATCCTGTGAGAAGAGCCGGCACACGACAGCTGCTCACTTCCTCCGTCTCTTGTCTCACCTTGCCCATCTCCACCTGTATGCCTAGAGTCCAGAGGGAGGTGAGATTAAAACCTGGAGTAATGGAAAGCTTTTAGAGTAGAAGCAACACATTGGATTGGACATAGACATTCCATTGTGTTGTCTTTGAAAGGGCCCTTGGCATTTTGAGTTTTGATGTTTCTCTTAACCCTATTCTCAGGGAAGATGGAATTTCGTTTTAAGGAAAAGTGGAGAACTTCATGCTCACCGTGAAACAGTAATTATGAAATTACAGTGTTCTGAAAAAGCTAAATCTCTTAGTTTAGAGGCTCTGCCACTTTATCCACTGATTTTTAACATGGTTTTTACCGTGTACAACTGGTGCTTTAGCATCTGTGCTATATGCCTTGATAGAAGGTCATAATGCTCACTGTCTTAGATGCTAAAGATTATTGTAATTAATTTGGGGCCAGAGTCAGGAAAATGATAAGACACATTGAAACTGACTTTATATTCGAGGCATCCATGAAAAGGGGGTGTCTGGAGAGACATACTGCGCGTGCCTCTCTAAAGAAAGCCTGCTATTCCATCAAATGGAGCAACCGAGGTGAACTAGCTTCTAAAGAGGTGACTAGCATTTTGTAGTGTTTTTGTTTTTTTTTTTAAGTTCTCTGCAGAATGCCTGCCTCCAAAACATTCTTATCAAAGAGCCAAATTCTAGTAGGTTAAGGTCTAGGTTTTCCTTCAAGGACAGTCAGATTCCAAAGTATCTTTGGAAATTAAAGGGTGTTAAATTTTAAGTGAATTTGAATAGTTGTTGACATCTTTGTAGTAGCCTTTTTACAAGTAAGATTACCAAAACCTATGGTGTCCTTTTTTTTCTAAGTATTCCTCTTAGCAGACCAGGAGACCCTCTGGCAAACTTTGGTGCCCTTGAGGAGTGCTTGGTCAGTCAGCATCACGTAACATAAGCACCTGTAACAGTAAAGAAAGTCAAGATGTATCACAAATGGGAATTGTTTGCCTGTTGATTTTAGACTTACTGAAATCATGTCTCTTGTTACTTCATCTTTTCCATGCTTTTCTCCTAACTTTTTCTCCAACCCTTCCTCCCTGCAATATGCTGCTTACTGCTGGTGGCAATGTTAATGTGTATGTGAGGTGAGTTCTCCTCAGGACAACCACTTCTTGAACTGTGATGATGAAGATAATATTGCCTGTTCTTTATTCCCTTCAGTGAAGTTACCTTTGTGTCTAGTGCAGCTTTGTTAAGCCCTTAAAATAATCATTTCCTCATATGTAAGGTGGTACAATCACTAATAGTCTGGTAATTTAAACAATTGAGATAGTAAAAGTGTTTAACAGACTAGGATATTTTTTCTTATTTGCCAAAATCCCTATAAGCCTTGTGTTAGCAAATAAGTGTATAATATTGTATTATTAATTTATTTTCATTTTCTGTACCATTTCAAAACACACTACATGAAGAGGAAACCAAGACTTTTCTTCAGGGCAGTGGACTTACAGTTTGTAAAACATTTTATATGATGCATATGCCAGCATGCCTATGATTTCTTTATTTCCTTCCTAGAGGTGACACTGGGTCAGCAGCGTGGAAATGAGCTTGCAGGCCCTCTGCCGACTGTAGACCAAAGTAGCACATACAGGACATGGTTTTGTGTACTGGCGGCAACCATGACATTTGATGTTAAAGCCAATGGGAGGTATAGTGCAGAAGGGCCTAGTTATTTTCCTGATAACAGTCTGACTTAGGAGAGTTATGGGGTTTATCTGGCCCTTCAGAATGACATGGCTGCCTTCATTCTCTTGCAAATGACTGTGTTTAATAGCACATTTAGTATCCGGTTTGGTTTGGGTAGTAGCACTTTCTATCATTCTGTTGTGTGCAATGATCAGAAATTTGTTCTGCTGGCCAAAGCCTCTTTCAGCAGTGCCTTGCCATCACACTTAAAAGTTTGGCTAGAGTATCTTGCTGGGTAGGGCAAGGCTTGAACCGTCGAACTTCCAAATTTGCCTTCCCCTCTGAACCTCATGTTAATGAGCAAACCTTTCAAGGCCTGTTGGCTCTCAGAAGCTACAAGCTTTCCCAGATTTTAAAGCTGCCTCCTCAGGAAAGCCCCATTTCCTGGCCAGCAGGCAAAAACAGCCATACTAACCTTACAGGGCTCAAATGCATCTTTAGAGAGTAGGGAACCGAGTGGCAAGGCAGAGCCTCCTTCTTCGCTGGGGCAGGGACTTGTTCTTGGTAGACGTCGTCCCAGGAGAGGCCAGCTTGTGGTTGGCCACTGTGGGCAAGTCTCAGTTGTGTTTTCTTCTTGTTTAAAACTGCCTCATTAGATGGGGATGCCTTAATGCTTTCACTCCTTTGAAAATATTGGTCATGCTTAAGTTCCTGCCATGATTACAGGTGGAATTATTGGCTACCAAAGAGCTGTAATCGATGATGGTCCTTCCTCATAACCAAAGTTAATCTTAATTGCAATTGGATTCTCCTTCCTTGGTAAGGATAGACTCTCTTCAGATTCTAAGTATTCTTTTAAGTGGAAAATTAAACTGAAAAAGGACTACTGATCCATCCCTCCCTTGTTCCCCAGTGAATTGCTTATCAGCTCCCATCTCCCCAAAGCAGTGATGCTTGAGGTCTGATGGCTTTGCTGTGCACACTTTTGCCAGATTTTAGATGACGGTTCTGCTCTGGAGTATAGAGTTGGAAATGGTACCACCCACAGAGGCTATGTGTTCTTTCCCCTCCTTTCCATTTTTTATTTTCCTGTTCAAAACAGTCAGCCCTGTGCCTGTCTTACAGATTATTAGGAAAAAAAGAGATGGTGGTTTTGAGTGTTCAGTTTTTTTGTAAAAAAGAGAACTATATTGTCGATTTTATTTAAATTTTACTGGCCTGCTTCTAAGTGTCACTGCCTGGTTTTTCTCTTTTTTCAAGAACTGGAACTAGGAGGGCACACCAGCATTAGAGTGTATTAAACCCCTCAGACACATGGTAACTAGGTACTGAACACGGGAACTGCTGTCAATGGCAGAAGCTGCCAAAGAACATTCCTGAACTGCTACAGTGCAAGGTGAGAACCATCTGTAGATATTCTCCAGAGGGAACCTTCCTTGCATTAGAAAATTTCTGCTCAAAACAGAATGGTCTCCATCTCCCAAAGAACACTGGTGGAGAATCTGTGAAATTAAAACCAATGATGTAGCTAGCCCCTTTGTAAGCGAGACACCTAGATTCACCTCAGGAGACCTGAGGGAAATGTGTGACTTGGAGGAAAGGACTAGACAAGCGTGAGAAATGCTCTAGATATGTGCAGCCCACGCAAGGACTGGCTTGTTCTGGTACCATCCTAGCAGCTTGGGAGTCTCCTGGGCCGGCGCTGCAGCTCCCTGGAATCGGTAGCCTGAACAGCGATTTTAAACGTCCCTTTTTCTGGATCCTTTGTAAACATGAAATCATTCCATGGATGGCTGCCTTATAATTTTGTCCCTTTCCACTTTAATTGTGAATGGTTCAAAAATTGTTGCCCTGTTTTCCTGATTTGTTTTATGATATTAAATTTTTATTAGTGCATACCTTATGTAATGACTCATTATTTATCCTCTGGGCAGTTTGTTTTTCTGTTTGACAACCAGATGTGATCCATATTTGAAGATCAGAAAAGATAATGAAAACTTGGAGGACAGTGAAAGCTGTACCTACTCTGTGCACATCCTTTAGAGAGAGGGGGAAGGAAAGGAGGAGGGGTCTTAAGGACTTGATTACCACTGTCCCGAAAGATACAAATGTAATGGCCATTTCTTTGCTCTGTCATTGTTGGCAGCAAGTATCTGATGATAGCTATCTAGTCTCAGCCAGCAGACCTAGATTGGAGTGTATTCATTTTAAAAGGTGGAGTAATTATGAGTATTCAGAGCCGAGAGCAGCTGAGGCTAGAGATTGAACAGACATTTGTGGACTGTGGCTGTGTCTTCCCTCTGTGGAATTAAATGCTGGAGCTTGTTCTCTTAACTTGAATCCAGGTAAGCGCTGTCTACAACTATGTATCGTTTCTGTGTAGAGTTCGTATGTTTGATCATTAGATTTCATTATTTCTTACTGGTCCACTCGGTGCTGGTTTTGTTTTCACATAAGCTATAGCTCGTTAGGGTGTTACATGTTTCTTGAGAACCCTCCTCACAAAGAAGAAAATGGGCAAAAAGGACATGGTGTTTTGACTGCTGCCATCTCTTCTGAAAGGCTTCAGGTGAAGTGCCTCCATACCCTGTCTTCGTCTTGAAGACTAGATTTTGAAAATGTAGTCAGATTTATCAAGTAAGCAGCCTTTGCTTTATTGTCCTGACATAAATATTTGGGAAAAAATAGTAATTTATATGTAGCCAGCAATCCTTACTCTGTTTTGTTCCTAACAAACCAGACCTGTATCCTAAGTGAGGTTTGTGCGCCATAAGAACGCAGCAGCCCTGTGTGTCTGTTGTCCTGTGTCCGGCGTGCCTTTCCTCAGCTCCGTCTCTGCCTTCATCTGAGGTCTCCTTCACTTGGGCCTGCTGTGGCTACCCTATTTAAGAATTGTAATCTGCCCCCACCCCCACCCTAGTGCTCCTCACTCTGTTCTGTTCTTTTTCTGTAGCAGTGATCACCTTCAATCTGTCCTACGTGTCTACTTTGGCCCTCTACCCTACTAAAATGTAAGCTCCAAGGGTTCCGTCCTCAGTAAATAGATATTGTTCAATGAACTGGCCTGCCCAAAGGGGGCATGTTTTTTCTATTTTCTGCTCTTCCCCATCCCTGCCTCCAGCTGCTACCCTGCCCCCTGGCAGAACCAGCTGCAGGCATTCACTTTTGTCTCACACTGGGGTAAAGGCTGTGCAGAGTTAGCAGAGATTTAGAGTCAGAAAGGGCATGGAACTGAACGTGTATTGGTGGGAATTTAACTAGTTCAAGTTACTAATGCAGGACAGACATTAGTAAGGTACTGGATGCCTGATCAGGGGCCAGCAGATGTGAATCCCATTTCTGATTCAGCTACTGATTTCTGATGCAGTGTCAGCCATTGTCCAGTTCTATAAATGTTGGGTAGGATGGGGGTGAATGCATGTGTCCCACTATGTTTGTCTCATTTATAGAAGGGTCCTCATACATTCAAGGGGGACAGGGCCAAGGCACTGGAGTGGGTGGGAAGCCAGAACATTGGATGAGTGTGGAAGGAATTGGATTGCTTGCTTGCATCTGGAACGCTCTGGGAGAAGAATGATACATCATCAGATGCTTAAAGAGCTCTCAAGTGCAGGACACAGATCCTGTATTTGGGGCAGGCTGGGGTTGGGGAGGGGGAGGCAGTGGGGACCAAAAATAAACAGAGCCCTGCCTCTATTCATTGACCTCTCATACACAGCACTAATGGAGCCCTTTCTATGCATCAGGCGAACATACAAAAGGGGAGTAGGGGTCAGTGTCAATCTTCCTGTAGTTCTGTGAGGGACTCGCAGTGGCACAAGGTGAGTACTGGAAGACAAAAGCGCAGGTGGCAAGAGAACCCACGGGGCAAGCACCCAGAGCTGGCTTCGGGACAAACATCCAAGGTGATGAGCTCTGCATTTGCAGGCTGAGCTATGAAGAAATTGGGAAGGAGCTTCCCTGGTGGCCTGGGGGTTAATAAGTGTCAGTGCTGCTACCACCTGAGTTGAACCTGGGCCAGCAAACTGACCCACATGGCACAGCAGACCTCTCCTGTCCTGCCCGCTGTTCCCCTCAGCAGTGTATTTCAGTAAATCCACCTGTTCTCCCCACTTTGTCTCTGGTGAATCCTAAGCATTCCCCCCCCCCCCTTCCTCAGCCTGCACTCTAGTTCTACACAAAAATAAATAAATGAAAATTTTTTTAAACAGTGGAAAGATCCTTTCAGCAGGAGGACCTGCATGGGCAAAGGCAGGTGGCACTCAGGGACTTGACTGCATAGAATATCCACAGGCACAGGAGAGGGGAGGGGAAAGGTGGTGTGCACCATCCCTGGATGACTTCTAAGCTTCCAGATTTCAAATTCTACAGATAATTGGGCCTAGCCATGAGCTTGTCATTCCTGCCTCAACTCAGGGTCTCTTAGCAGGTGCAGTCTGGCTGTCCTCTAAATTCCTGTCCCCACACAGGTGGAGGTGCTAGTTTGAAGTATCATCTGCCACCTCAAGTTGGAGCTTGGTGACTGATCCTCCCTTATCCCTGTATCTCTACCACTCCTGGCTGAGGCCCAAGTACTCCCTTCCACTTTTGAACCTTTGTGCCACTGTCACACACAGAAGGCCTGATCCCCCTGGGCCGGGTGCCCACTCTTCATTCTATTCTACCCCTTAGTTCCCCAACACTCTCTGCCCTCTGCTCTCTTCCCTAAGGGGTGCTCTGGAAGTGTCCCTGCCTCCTGTGTCTTCCCTGTGCCTGTGCGCTCAGGCCCGTTACCACTATCTCAACAAAACCTCTACCCGCTGCCTCTTGTTTCCCTGAAACCTGCCACCCAGTGTGAATTGGGCTTTTCCCTGGCCTGGTGGAGGGGAGAGGCAGGAGACTGCAGAGGCAGGAATGCTATGCTATGCTCATTCTATGCTTTTGCTCTCTTGGTACTTTGAGAAGCCAGAAAAGAATGTGCTGTTGGATTTAGGAAGATATTCTAAGGACAGCCCCTTTTTATGAAACTACAAGGTTTCAAAGTAACACCCAAGGTCTTTTCATTGAGTGAAGATGGACTTAACACTGGTGCCACCCGCCCCTGGTCTGATGATATCCAAAATTTTTTCCAGAGGAGAAACTTAACGCTCTGGCTCTCCCTCTGGCTTTCTGGGAGTATGTGAGATTGTAACAGTAAATGACTGTGGGCTGCTGCACCAGGCTAACCATTCTCCTTCCCCTACAGAAATGTATTATTGGTAGTAGCCAAATTAGTATACACATTTTTATCTACTCATCCCCACCAGAGGGAGTGCTGAGTAACTTCAGAGTTTTTTGCTGCCCACAGCCCACAGCCATGTTCTGGAATGCCGAAAACTGGTGTTGGTGCTGCAAAAGTGCCGGAGGATGGCAGGGCAACAAGGTCCTTGCACCCGCAGAAACACTTCTACATTGGCATCCTTGGGTGTGAGCAGTTGTCAATGAGAGGGCAGAAGAGGCTAGCAAGAGGCTGACCCTGCTGATGAGGACAGATCTAAAGCATGGGACTGTCAGCATCAGGACGTCGAATATGGGCTGCCAGAGTAGCCAGGCTGTGGCCACACGGGCTCTCCTTGGGCCCATCCTTTAGCTTCTAACCTGCATGTAAGCCCTCTGCCCTGACTCCCCTCCCAATCAGTTTCTCCTGGGGCTGCAGCCAAGCCCTGCAAAGGGCAGAGGATCCCAAAACCCACCTCTGGCCATAGCAGATGTATTCAAAGTATGAATACAATTAAAGAGAAAAAAATTTTTACATCATTCTTCATTTTGTGCATTTCTCCATCTCAGTTATAATTCCCATGGGCCTCCCATTACCAGTTCACCCATGTGCCATCACCACAGTCCAGCGGAGACACAAATGCTTTAGTTCTCAGGTGGAGGAGAAGCTTTCCATGTGTTTCAGGCTCCTCAAAACTGGTGGGGCAGGAGCAGAGCAAATGAAGGAAAATGACTGGTGATGGGATGGGAAACCCCAGCAGGTCAGGTCCAGATGTGGAGGGTGTTACAGTCAAAGGTCAGAAGTGGGAAACTGAAGAGGGCTTGAAACAGGCTCACGGAATCAGCTCTGAGCCTGGAAAAGATCCCACACCAGCAGTGGTGGTGAGCTGGGATTCCTTGGGGGATCCTGCTCTCAGTGGCAGAGGCATTTGGAAGGGCCATTATTGCAGAGTCCAAGGACCGTATGAGGCAACCTGGGAGACCCAGAGAAGTTCATTATTCTTGGTTCACAAAGCTCATGGCAGCAGTCAGACTTATAAACCCAAAGCACTAAAGCAGGTGACAAGTCTAAAACTGCCCAAAGATTCTGTGTTACAGATGAGGGAAAACAGGACAGGTCAGTCTCCATTTAGTTGCAAACAAACATGGAACAGCAGCTTAAATGAAGACACATCAAGTCAGTAAGCATTTGTTGAGCACCTGCTACATGCTCTGGACTCTCCACAGGACCTCATAGCCTGGAACGGATGCAAACACAGAAACCGTGAACAGGGCAGACAGACTGTGCTAGCATAGAAGGACAAAAGTCCACAGGAGCCAAAAAGAAGGGGGTACCACTTTGAAGTGGTGCCATATCCTGCAGAATCCAGAACAGGAGCCTGAATGAT